ATGTTGCTAACCACTGAGCAGGAATGTAACTGAATACTTTTACTCAGATACTGTATTGAAATGTTGTTGTAACTGAAGTATTTCATGGAAGTTTCTACTTCTATTAACCTGCACTATGGAGGCAAATATTGCACTTTTTACTTTATTTTGTGCATTTAAAGCACTATTGAAAGTTTTCTGTGCACATTTAGATGAATGAATGACATTAAACTCATAAATGACGCATTATTTGTGTAGATTAAGCAACACAGGAGGACATAAAGCTATTAGAATAATCTACTCTGCAGCCTGGGTGAAAATATTTGTCTAGAAATGACACCAGGAGCTCAAAGCAGTGAGACAGAGGAACAATCAACTGCCTATAAAACACATTTCTACATCTGTTGTATGCAAAGCATTCATCCTTTTTCACCTGTTAAAGTCCTAAATGTAAACTAAGCTGACAGATATCATCTCATCCAACTTTTGCCAAAAATTAAAACAAAAAGAACCAATAAAACTGTATTGAATCTGTTTTACTGCTCCCTTATAGAAGAGGAATGTGTTCATCTGTGTGTTTATGTTGCCTTATGTGTTCAAGGATAACATTTCTGTTTCTCTTGCATTATTTCTGCTGAGATAAACATTGAGAGCATTCAGTGCAGCAGGTAAAGAAGACAAATATACTCAGATCATGCACGTTGATTATTGTCACTATCACACTGAACGTCATCATGAAGTTTCCACTTTAGCACTGAGGAAAACCACAACGATGAAGCTCTGCGTCACCACAATCTCACTTTCCTCATAGCACTGGGCCGATCCAATCAACATTTAGATTTGGTCTTTAACTTCCTCAGAGAAGTGGATGGAAAATGTTCTCTTTCAAAACCACAGACCTTTCTATGTAGGCCACCTTTAGATGTGGCATTGGGTCAGACGACATTTTTCTAGTAAGAAATTTTGAAGCTTTTCTGTGGCTTATGACTGTAAACACATCACCTCCAGCCCTCACTACTCTCAGTCCAATGGTGAGGCTGAGAGGGCAGTTCAGACAGCGAAGAAGATTCTTCGACAGGCCGACCCGTTCCTGGCTCTTCTGAGCTACAGAGCCACGCCGCTACAAGCCACGGGTGCCAGCCCTGCACAGCTCATGTTGGGCCGTCAGATTAAGACAACTGTGCCCACAGTTGACAAAGTCCTCGCCCCAAAGTGGCCTGACTTCACAAAGGTGCGTAAAGCTGACACCAAGGCGAAGGAGAACTACAAACGCACTTACGACAGGCGCCACGATGTCAGAGCACTCCCACCTCTCAGAAAAGGGGAGAGAGTAGTGGTGAAACTCGACAGAGAGTCAGAATGGGGGACAACAGGGACAGTCCAACAACCACACACAACACCGAGGTCCTACCTGATCCAGACAGACCGTGAAACACTGCGGAGGAACAGGCACCACCTGTGCCTAACCTTCCTTCCTGTTCAACAGCCAGACGAGACAGAGAGCACACAGGCGAGTGAACAACCATCATCACCCCTGTACTCGCCTCCAGATTCACCGGTCAGAGAGACTGTTCCAGCGGAGCCTGGGGGACATGTTCAGGCTCGGGTGACCTGCAGAGGAAGAGTCATCCGTCCACCTGACAGATTTAAAGATTTTGTATGTACTTAACACATAGCTTGCCAACAATGGAGCAGAATAATCTTTGGCAGCTATGGAGGTGAATGGGCAGTCTACCCCATAACCTCAGGGAAATAATAGAGGAAGAATGAGAGAAGGAACTGAATGCAGATGTGCACTGTTAATGTTATTCTTCCTGTCGTGTTGCAGCACTTCCCTGCCTTGTTTATAAGTGGCTGACAAGTGAAACATGTTGTTAAGTTCCAGAGTGTTCCACTAACCCACACTGCAGGTTAATCAGACTTAGGTTAATTGCTGTTCTCTCTTATCATTACCTGCCTCGGTTGTATAATTCTTAGGAGAAGAAACACTGCAGGTTTTCTTGGTTATTGTTTACATACCTTTAGGTCTATGACTCAAAAGAGGGGAGATGTCATATGAGTGTGGTATCCAGCGGACTATTTTGTGTACGCACACACTGATCTGAGTTCATGTGCACTGAAAACGGTAGCGAAAGTAGCTCCGCCTCTCGAGTTGTTGTAAGTTACTGCAGGTGTGTGACTGGAGAACGAGAAATAAAGAGCGTCAACAAGAAGCAATATTGCCCGTTATTCTTTGGGAGATACCTTACACATTGACACTTACCTTGTGAAATGACGCTATATGGAGGAAACTGAATTGAAGGGTTGNGGACAGCAAGCGGCTCGTCTTCAAGATGGCGTTCTGCGGATTCTGATTGGCTAAAAGTGCTGTCAATCTCATGTTGGTGGCTGTCGCTATATTCTATTGGCTCTGACAATTAGAAGGCGGTGTCAATCACTGAGATTGACCAATCCATGACGGAGATACAGCCTTGCGTCACCACAGGAGCCTCACAGCAGTTTGATCAGCATCACGCACAGGACCAATAACACAGACAGCGGTCTGGTTGGATTTTTTTTTTTAAACAAAAGAACTGCTGTATTTGGATGTATTGAACACCATTAGTGATATACAAGTGAAATATATAGTTTGTACATAAGAAAATTCAGATGGTCACAAGTGTCTGGACTGAAAACTCTAATTTTGTTCTGCTTCACTTTATCAGAGTCAAACTTTGCAGAGAGAATGTTCACATATTGTGCTCTGATGTGGGAGAGGTTTAGAGCTGCAGCTGCATCATTACAAAGAGATCATTATCCTGATTGTTATCTTTATTTTTAGGCGAACCTGCAAAATGTTTCATTTTTGCTGTGTGCCACCTTCATTTACGCTTAACCAGTAACATATATACTGATATTTACACATCTGAATGAATCTTACAAGTGCTCCTTTTATTATGACACAATAATTAGACAAATAGACCTTGTGCTTGCAGAGATAAACTGTTGTTATTATGGGTATGTCATTTTCGAGCAGAGGCCTGATAAACAGCTCAGGGCTGAACAGGTTAAAGGAGCTTGGACCAAGGGAATCCTTGCATTTGTTGGGTTTTTCTCAATATTCTAACATTGCATGGTCTTGACAGCATTTACCTTGTGAAATGATGCTATATAGAGGAAACTGAATTGAAGGGTTGCTCATTCAGCTGAACCACACCATGGAGTGATCGTCTGTTTACAGGAAAATCAACCTTAAACAATCCAGTTTACAATCATAATTTACATGCAAACTACCAAAAACCTTTCGCTGCTAGGAGCTGTGTAAAAGTGATCAATACGACCACACATTTTCATGAAGTTTTGCAATATATTTGCATAATGCTTTTAGTGCATTAAACACTCAGCACGTTACAATAAAACTGAATGAATTATCAGTGTCTGTTACTACCTGTGTTATTCATCATAAAGATATGTTTGTTAACAAGATACTGCATTTCAATACTGCATAAAACATAAAAGCTGTGAACTGCTGACTCGTATACGTCTGTGACCACAACCCTTGAGCTGAGCCACAAGAGTTTCCTGTTGCATATTTAACAATCTACCCGCTCACATTTACCTCTGATCACTTCAGAGAGCAGAAGGAAGAACTACTGCGTGGTGTGCTAAGGGATAATATTCACTCAAGAACTCAACATGAATGGTACGACTGTGTTACTAGGGAATGTTACTGCTGAGGAGCCAAAGCCGGTGTACGCTGCTCTCTTTGGCTGCATCTTGGGCCTTGGTCTGCCTCTCAACGCCGTGTCTCTGTGGATTCTGCTTCGCCACCACAGCCTCAAGTCTCCCAGCGCCGTCTTCATGGTCAACCTGGCAGTCTCAGACCTGCTGCTCGTCATCTCTTTGCCCATGAGAGTCTATTTCTACGCCACAGGAATCTGGCCTCTAAGCACAACAGCGTGCTTCAGTTTAACGCTGCTCTTTCACGGCAACATCCGCTCCAGCTCCATCTTTATCACCATCATCAGCGTGGACCGGCTGCTGGCTATAGTTTATCCTCTGAGGTCACGGCATCTTCGAACCTCTTCCAATGCCTGGAAAGGTGCTGCGTTCGTTTGGCTGTTTGTGTTGGTGATTCTCATCCCACCAATTGTGATCGGTTCAGGAAAGTCAAACCGCACCAAAACGTCTTGTTTTTTATCAAAAGGAGGGAATTCCATACCATCACACGTTATTTATTTTCAGTTTGTGTTGGTGTCCATCCTGCTGGCAGTCAACATCGTGTGCACGGTTATGGTGTCGTGGACTCTACGCAGTCATCTCAGCGACTCTGCAAAGGTCAAGAACAAGATGAATGTAATGCTGATTTTTATCCTGAACTTGGTCATGTTCACCATATGTTTCTTGCCTGCGACGCTCAGTGTGGTTGCAGTTCCTGACGGTGATCACTTGTCGATGATATGTCTGGCTGCTGTGAACTGCTGCCTGGATCCGCTGTTGTATTACTTTTCTTTTGATGCCTTCTGGAGGAAAAAAGATGACGTGGATGTGTCATGAGAACAGTAGAAAAAGAACATATTCAGATTTTCGAGGCAATGTTGTGGATTTCCTAATTTCCTGCAAAATGTGAGACATGGGATGTGTTACAAGTTGGACCATGTCATGTTTTTTCCTTTTTCGTTTGAAGCTTAGAGCAAGGCAGACGGAGAACATGCTCGCCAACTTTCGGGTATTTTATTTGTGTCTATGGACGGCAAAAATCTCAGCTTCACTTCCACCAAGAGTCCAAACAGGTGTAGAAGAAATCATCTTAAAAGGAATATTTGGGCCTGTTGGGAAATATGTGCACACGCGGTAGTTAAAGTAAGACTGATGCTACTCTTGTGTGTTTATTTGCAAATATAAATGTAGAGGAACCATGAAGTCACACTTCCTGATCGTACAGAGGGCCATCTGGACAAGTGAGTGGTGTGAGTGTGTACAGCCGTTGTTATGTCGGTTAATAAGTGATGCAACTTGAAATGTATGTTGGAAAACATAGAAAAAGCCAAAGCTGGCTGAATGTAAGGTGCATGTGAGGACTAACATTCACGATGGTTCTCTTTGAAGGTGAAACCAAAGTGTAAATACAATGCAAACGATTCAGATTTATAGGAATTAAAGTTGATACTCTTCGCTTTAAGGCTTTTTATTTCATCTTAATTTGCTTTTATTGTTGTTGTTTCAGTTGATTCATTTGTTTTCAATCCTAAATGCTGTCATTGTTGTTTTAATGATTGTACTGAATTTACCTTTAATTATTTTTAGTGTCATTTTTATCCAAGTTTCTTATTTGTGTGTCTACACCTTTTATTTTCCTACTTGGCCACAATGAGGCTTCAATGTGTTCCAAGTTCAAATAAAGGCTGAAAGTAATGCTCAGTCATTTCATAGATGACCAAATGAATCCTGTGGTATTTTTTCTCTGTCAGTCATGTAGAACTGAAGTGAGGCTGCATGTTAAAGCTCCCTTCAGATTTTCATTGAGTTGAGAAGGAGGTAAGACAAGGCAGGTTTACTTGTGTAGCACAATTTGTATTTAAAGTGCTTCACACAGAACTGTAAGAAGACAGATAAAGTCAATCCACAAAATATAAACACAGTCATTAATTATTACATTAAAAGCAAAGAGGCAGATAAAATCAATCCATCAAAACATAAATATAATCAATAATTAGAAGAGTAGAGATGTAACACTTTCAGCTGTCATTATTAAATAAGGTGAGAAAAATTTTGTTTGTAAGACAAGTAGTCAGGCACATGACTGTGGTACAAACAGAACTTGGGTTTCGGTGTGACTCAAACAAACGAGATATAATTTCCATCGTACAGCAGGCTCGACTGCACGCTGCCTCCTCCGTGTGACTTCATATTTGATGGACAGATAAGATAGTGATGTTCATCTCCTTATTAACTCTGAGCAAGATAAAAAAAGAAAATAAACATTTTCCAAAATGCCTCAGAAGCCTGAACGATCTGTGTGTTAAAAACCTACAGCACAAACATTGTTCAACATGCATTCAGCATGTCTTCATGCATTTGAAACAGAAGGCTTAGGTTGAGAAAAAATGACACAACTCTTCTTTCAGTATCCTCCTCTAAGGGCGTCCTTTGACTGCTTTGCAGAATATTACCCTCTTACGTGTTGTGTCTGCTATAAATCCGTTTATGTGATTCTGGCTTTCGTCTTATTTGTGAGTGTCTCAGCCGTGGAGCCGGCTCGAGTCCTAAACCCCTCCAGATGGAAGGAAATGGATTTAAGACCACAGCACACTGTAAGGATCTAGATTAGCGCTTCTGCAGATTTGAAATGATCCACAAATAATCACTGCAAATGCAATTAGGCAGTGAGGGTTGACAGATTTCCCTATACTCATGTCTTTATGTTAACTTGCTATTGCACAAACTATCTGTTCAAAGGCAGTCTCTGATGTACTTTTTTGATATCTGCTATTCAACCACACATATGGAACGGAAATGGAACACCAACAGTCATTCTTGGTTTCACAGAGTAGATGATATGATGGTGTGATGCAAGAGCAAAAGCAAGATAAGAACAATGAGATGTGAGAACGAGTTAAAACACTTGATGCAAAACTAAACCAAGAATCAAACCATTCCACAGCAACACACAATCATCACAGGCTGGGACGTCAAAATATAAGAACAAGCTGTGAAATGAATCAAAGAATCTGCTGTGAAAGTTTAAAGACATACTGAAGAAAGGTCCCTGTGGTTTCATGATAGCCAAAACTGTGGGTTAGACATTTTCGGATCAGTTCACCCAAAAGGTGGAAACAGCCTCACAGAATTCTGTTCTGAGTGAAAATAAATGATCTAAACTCCAACGTCCACTTACTGCTGAAACCCTTTGTCGCTACAGGGCTGGTTTTCTACACTTTGTGTTCGAGTGATGATGCCTGAACCGGCTATTTTCGTTGATGATGATGACAGTAACATGTAGCTGAAAGATCTGTATATATAAATATAGTACTGTGTAAAACGAGTCATTAAGTGAATTATTGTTGTTACAGTGCATACAGATGAAAATGAGAGAGTGACACATAAAGCAGAATATGTTCTATTTACACCTCTAACATCTAGGGTGTGCCGTTCTCTTTGCTATTGCTATATATATATATATAAGCCAAGATCTAAAAAGCTCTGTCAGGCCTTCAGAAAAAAATAACCAAACAGTTATGAAAACCTCTATGTCTCAAAAGTTATCCAATTTGAAAACCATCTACAAGTAATATTGAAATTACTGCAATTCATCTGTGACTTGTTGCCCTGAGAGCAAACCATTTGATGCAAAGACAACAACCCCAAAGTCTCATCTACGGGTGACTCGATGTTGTCGTCGAACAAAGATGTTGGTGCAGCTACGATCAAAAACAATGTGAGACCTTTGACCTGCATGAGAGGCGTGCCATCCCAACAGAACTTAAAGTGAAAGCTTGCCAATGGACATATTAGGAAATCCTTTTGGAATAACGTGCTCCAGACAGACAAATCAAAGACGCTGTTGTTTGGACACAGTAACAGTTGGCGGCTTTCAGGAGAAAAACTCAGTCCAACTGAGGAGCCCGGTGGTGGAAATGTTACGTCCAAAATGATCGCGTGGTTAGACGACAAAGGAACGACTCAAAAAGAAGAAACGAAGAGTTGTGGAGTGGCCTGGGGAAGATGAAAATAAGCAAGAGATTCAAGAAATACCCTCAAACATCTTCCACCTGAAGGAAGAGGGGTCAAGAATGTAGCCAGAGTTTGATGGACAATAATGTAAAATGCCTGCAACAAGTTATTTCTCCTAAAGGGGGCGTGATGAGCTTCTGGTGCCTTTTTTTCCACAGAAGACTATTAGTGTTACCAGGCACTGTGTCAAAGGGCAGCACGTTTGCTTGTGTAAATACTGAAAAACAAAGATAAGAAAGTCAACAACTTCTATGTTCTCCAGTACCTAAACTCACACTTTTTGACACAGACAGAAGCTTTTAAAGCGAGCTGAGAAACCAAAACAGTGTTCGTCTTCAGTTATTCAAGATCCACTTTTCAACTGCATCTTAAGGTCCTCATCAGTGGAGGAGCTTTCAGAGTTGTCATGTGAAGTAGGAAGGAGTTCCTGACATCGACCAGGAGTGCTGAAATTGAGGAGGGGACACAGACTGTGAGATGTGGCTAAAAGCTCCAGAAAAATCTAATATGTCGCCCATATGTTGAGATTTTCGTACAATTGAAATAGTTGTGTCATGCTTAACTGTACTGTGTGAAACATTCTCCATCATATCCAACTAATATGCTTGGCTTCAACAATTAATTTTTTTTAAAAATGGGAAAAAACAAACAATAAACATATTCCTTACTAACTAAATGATGCTGGAAACAAGTCTGCTGGTGTCTGGATGTCCAGCTGGTGGCACTGCAGCCTCTGATCATGAAGCTGCAACCCGATGGAAACATTTATAATGATGTTTAGTTATAAAAATAGAGACAAAAATCACACCTTTTAATAGTAAAAGGGATTGTTGCTCCAAATATGAAACATAAAGACAATGTACAGTGGAGCAGGTCAGCACTGGACAGCACAGGCCTGCTGCTTGGCTGGTGCCTTCCTGTGGAGTTTGTATGTTCACCGTGTGTCCAGACGTCCACAGTCCAAAGATATTCATGGTAGGGGAATCTAAACCCGCCGTGGGTGCGAGACTGAGCATGTCTGCTGTCTGTCTGAAGAACTGGCCACCTGTCTCGGGTGCCTCTGGCTCAAAGTCAGCTGGGGTACGTTGCAGCCCCCTGCAGGAGGAAGTGGGTGATGCTAATTGGATTAATGTACACGGATGAACAACATTAGAACCATCTGCCTGACTGGTCAGGACACATGGACAACACGGATGTCTGGGAGCAGGTCAGGGCATCCCACGGGTCTTGGTTGTGTTCCTCTAGCTGTGCCTGAGCGGTTATTGGGTCCTGCTGTCCAGGACAGGGTTGAGCTCTTGGCCTGGTACATCCACAGTGATGCCAAGACCTGAGATTTCCAGGCAGAACATGACACTCCAACAACACAGTGATAAAAGCATCACCTGTCAGTGGTGCTAATGCTGTAGCTAATCGGTGTATTTTCCACTTTAAACCGTGCCGGCTGCAGCATGGTGACTGTTCTGGAGGTCGGGAAATGAAGCACGTGATTCAGTCACTTTTACTACTTTATTCACAGACAGATTTCATTTGCAGACAAAATATACAGATCAAAGTTGGGTTGGTTTGCTAACGTATCGCATAATATGCTCCCTTTTATTTGTACTGACTTTAGCCCAGTGTCTGACGCTGGACTAAGGCTTTAAACGTTGTTTTACAAAACATTCTAAGAGTGCCGTTTTTCTCTTATAGATAAAGACATGCAAGGGAAAACAAAGGTTATTGTAAATGATTCAGAAATGCAGCAGGGAGAGGGGGGGAGAAGCACAAGAAAAGGGAAAAAACAAATGAGAGCATCAAAAATAAATATGGGTCTTCACTTGTTTCATTGATGGCATGTTGTTAAAAAAAATAAATAGAAAAGAATGCAGTCTAATGCCCAGTGCAGCCTTATCTAACTTCTACTGTGTGGTGATGCTTGTTAACAAGATGAAAGGCAGAAAGAGGAGCAAGGAAGCAACAGGCAGGCAAGAGGATAAAGATGCAAGCAAGCAACTAGTCATCAGCAGTTACATGTTTACAGAGAACATGAGAAAAACAAATTAATTAAAGCCGTGGACATTGTTCGCTCAGGGAAGCAAGACGCCACGCTTTGCACAGATGACTGTCAGTAGAACTAAGAGACACAAAGAAACCTCCAGGGCAGCAGAAAAAACAAAATACAGTCACCTTGACAACACATGGAGACGGCCGTCTCCCTCAACAACAGTAACCGTCGTACAAATCCCCAAAGGGAGAAGAGGTCTTGAAATTATTCATTATTGGCTTACGGACTCTGCTACATGGAAAATCCTGTGATGGAACCAGCAGCTTAGTATTGCATCAAACTTGAGGGTAAATATTACCTATGGGAAATGAAAAAAAACCCAGACAGGTAGAGAAATAACAAAAAAAAAAAACCTCTTTTACAAAAGGACATCAAACCAAAATCACAAGTACAGTGTAATT